GGTCCTCCGAGTGGCATGCAATAGACATCCGATGATTGAGTGGGTTCGCGGTTACGGCGCTAAGCACCGCATTGAAACCTGGGTAGGCAACTGTTTGGCTCGGGATCTCTGCCCTGGATCTGCCGTAACTGTCTCTGCAAACCCAAAGAGGTTAGGTTTCATCCATTCCCAAGCATGGCTCCTCGCCTGTCCTGGCACCTCCTGTTGACGGGCCTGGGTTACAGACAAGCCTGGTAACGGCATACCTCTACTGTCTGTTTGCTCTGCTGGCGCAAGCGGTGGGGAAGGCGGGAGGGGGCGGGTGGGGTAGGTGGTGGCGGTGGTTCCACATACACTGCACTCGCATGCTCAGCTCCGACTTTCCCTTCGGGTGGCAAAGGTCAGCTCGGGGTCGTCCACATACTGGAAGCTTACTCCCTGGCCATTCTGCGCCCTGGGGCGAGGGCCTGGTAATTCTCCAGTGCCCTGGCAGCGTATATCAATGTCCCTTTTGATACCTGGCCTTGTCTAGCGTGTTGGTGTGCTTCGGCTCCACTTGGTACAAGATGCAGATTGGCTCCTATTGTGGCAGCGTTGTCGGCCTGTTCATTACCTGCTGCCCAGAACCATTTTTCAGCGAAGCGTTCTGGCGATTCTACGTCCTGATCGGATTTGACTCTGTACAGCGAGAAGCCCGCAGGTGCGAGGCTTCGAATCCTCATCCTTATCCCTGCGTAGAACGATTTCGGCGCGAATACTTGTTTCCGAGATTCCTCGGAATATTTTCAAGGCGCGAGGTGCTTCTGGAGATTCGAGGGAGGATTTTTTTGAGATTTGACATTCGCGGGGATTCGTGGGAAGATTTTTTGGAGATTCCAGGGCGGTCGTGTTTGCCATAATCGACCCAGTCTACGGCTTGGGCGAAAGGCAGGGTGGCGCCGCGCGACGCGCAGCGGCGCGCGGCGACGCGAACCCAAGCGATGGGCGCGAGGCGTCGCGCAGTCCGCCATGCTTGCATGGGCGAGCGCGCGAGGGGGCGTGCGCGCCGCCCAGGGTTGGAAGGGACGCCCCACACGCTCGACTGGGTGGGTGTCCCGCCGTGCTCGGCGATGGGCGCCTGCGGTGCGGCTTTGGCCCGCCCACCGCTCCGATCGGTGGCCATTCAGCTCGGGGTGTTCGCATTGGGCGCTCGGCCTGGCCGTCGACGCAGGTTAGTGCCACAGCCGCGGTCGGCTCGGGGCACTGCTGCTCGCGGCCAGGGTCGAGCGACGCACCCATCGTCGCGGCGCGACGCGCCGAGCCGTGTGGCGTCCGCGCCAAGGTTTTGTGTCAAGAATCCCGTGCAAGGGATTCCACGACTGCCACGCGCGCACGTTCGTTTTGCAAGCGTTTTTTTTGCAAGCGTTTCAGCATAACTCATGTTCTTTACAATGCAAGTCTAGCAGGGTTTCTGCCCAAACGCACCTGCTGACATCAGAGAGAGAGAGAGAGAGAGAGAGGAAGAGAGAGAGAGAGAGAGAGAGAGAGAGAAAGCGTGACCCCCTGCCGCTTTACTGTGGACATTCACCCCCTTCTTCCTCTGGAACCCGGGGGTCCCCCCCACCCCTTTCCGAAAATCCCCCCCCCCTGCCCGGGGGGGATCACTGCCGGTTCGAACCTCCTCACCCCCCTCTCCAGAAAACGGGGGGGGTGACTACCAGTTCGAACCTCCCTCGCCGCCGGCAAAAGAGTCCCGGGTCCAGGCCACCGTCCTCACCACCGCCGTCACCATTGTCCTCACCACCACCGAACCCACCACTGTCCCTCTGTCCCCACTGTTCCCACAACCAGTGTCCCTACTGTCCGCACCAATGCCCCCACCACCGTCGCACTGTCTCCAGTGTCCCCGCCACTGTCCCCGCCGCGGTCCCACTCTCCCCACTGTCTTCACTGTCCCCACCATTGTCCCACTGTCCCCACTCTCCCCGCCAGTGCCCCACTGTCCCCAGTCCCCACCGCCGTCCCCACTTTCCCCACCAGTGCCCCCACCACTGTCCCCACGACTGTCCCCGCGACTGTCCCCGTCCCGCTTTCCCCAGTGCCCCAGGTGTCCTCACCATTGTCCCACTCGTCCTACCGTCCCCACATCGTCCCCGCTGGTGTCCCACTGTGCTGCTCCACTGTCCACACTGTCCCTGCCACGGTCCCACTGTCCCTACTGTCCCCACCACGTTCCCCACTGTACCACTGTCCCACAACCGTCCTAACCACCGCCTTCACCACTGTCCCCACCACCACCGTCTCCACCACTGTTCCAGTGCTGTTCCCACCACCACCGTCCCCACCACTGTCCAATTGTCTCCATTGTCCCGGCCGCTGTCCCACTGTTCCCAGTCCCCACCACTGTCCCCACTGTCCCCGCCAGTGCCCCCACCACTGCCGTTCTGCCCCTACTGTTCCCGCCACTGTCCCCACCTCGGTCCCACTCTTCCCACTGTCCCCACTCCCCACCACCATCCCCGCCACCGTCCCAACCACTGTCCCCACCAGTCCCCCATCCGGAATGGGAGAGGAGGGGGGAGTCGTTGCGGCGATGGGGGAGGGGGTGGGCGGGGGGGGAGGTTCGAACTGGTAGTGGCCCCCTCTGGTTTTCCAGGAGGGGGGGGGGTGAGGGGTTCGAACCGGTAGTGACCCTTTTCCTTTTCATGATGGACGGGGGGGGAGGGGGGCGGTTTGGAACCCCCAGTGACCCCGTGACCCCCGGTCGGTTTTCGAAAAGGGGGGGGACGGGTTGCATGCGCCCATTGCCTGAATCCGTATCAGCAAGGCCATGCGGGTCAAATGCGCGCGTCGCCACGCGCGCGTGTCGAAATCCTTCTGGCATCATAGGTTCTCGAAGCATTTCAAGATAGAGGTCTTCAGTCACATATGAGACACCAAGTGTGATTCAACATCAAGTCGTTCCAGACTTCTAGAACGTCTACGCGCGTGCATTTCCTCGTCACCCTCTTCAGCAACATTGTCTCACCTCCGGTATCGTCTCCGCCAATCGCCGCCGTTGCCGCGACCACTGTCACAATAACCTTCATCACTGGCGCACGGGCGTCATCATCGTCAGCGTCGTCACCAGCGTCGGCGCCGTCATTGGCCTTGCCGTCGTCATCGTCATCATCGGCACCACCGTCCCTGCTATGATGATCGTTGCCCCGTTTTCGACGTTATCATGATAGCGCGCCCGCGCGAGGCAGCGACCCGCACGGAAATGCCCTAGCGCCATTGCGGCCTTTCAGACGCGTTGGGAAGTTCCCATCGGTAAGCATCAGTTGTGTCAATCCAGTTGGTCGCCCTGCGCGCGTGTGCGCGCCAGAGCGGCCGTAGGGATGCATTAAAAAATGCTTGGCAATAACAGCACTCGTAGCCGTATAAGTTTCGCCAAACAAGTTGCGGGTGGGAGGGTGGTTTGTTTGCGCGAGCAGTTGAGTTCTAAACCCTTTGCTGACAAAAACAGTTGCCCCACGTAGATGGCACGACGCACGCAAGCTGCACATGTTTACCAGTGTGGACTCAGACAAATCAGTTTGAATGTTGAATTTGTGTCTTATGTGGTGGAAGCAGTGTAGTGCGATGAGTGCGATGGAAACAATGTCGTGCAAGCGACGTGGCGCAATTTGTATGTTGCAACATGTATATATCTACATGTTTGCGTCGTAAAAATTATGTCGTGCAAGCTACGCGGTGCAAACTATGTGGCGCGGTTTATGTGGTCAAAACTAAGTTTGGTAAGCTCTGTGGTGTAAGCGATGGGGTACAACGTATGTAGTGCAAGCTATGCTGTGCAGTTCTTTGGTGCAAGCAATGTATTGTAAAGGTAGTGGTGCAATCCATGTGGTGCAAGCTATCTGGTTCAACCGCAAGGGGCGGCGACGAGGCGGTGGCGGGCGGCCACGAGGCGGGCGGCCATGAGGCGGCCACGAGGTGCCCACGTGGCGTTGACGGGGTGGACATTCGGCGACCACGAGGCGGCTACGGGCGGGTAGTGCGCGAAATCAAAGAACCTCATGCCAATTACTTGGTGGCCAAGTACAAACCTTTTAGTGCAAACGCCGTGTTGGGGAAATGGAGAGGAGTAACGAAGCGGATGGCGATACGGTAGGTTCACGCCGCGTTGACTCGGCGGCGACGCTGGCTTGGGCGATCAAGGTTGCGTTTCAACAGCTGCCTGGACTCGGTCAGTGTTGAACGACTTCCGACACCGAAAGCGATGATCGTTCAATGTGGAAGGATCCGCAACGTGTCAGGAAACAACCACCAATTCATCGCGACGTGAACGTGGCGCACCCAGGAGGATCTCGATGATGATGACGATGGCGATGACGATGGCGATGATGATCACAACGATGATGTTGATGATGATGATGATGATGATGATGGCGATGCTGCTTCTGATGATGATGACGATGATGATGACGATGACAATGCCGATGACTATGATGATGCTGCTGCTGATGATGATCATGCTGCTGCTGCTGATGATGATGATGATGATGATGGTGATGGTGATGGCGATGATGATGGCGATGATGTTGATGTTGATGTTGATGTTGATGATGATGATGATGATGATGATGGTGGTTGTGGTGATGGTGATGGTGATGGTGATGGCGCCCGTGGTGGTTGTGGTGGTGATGGTGATAGTGATGTTGACGGTGATAGTGGTGATGAATATGAAGATGATGATTCTGATGATGGTGGTGATGATGATGGTGATGATGATTATGATGATGATGATGATGATGATGAGGAGGAGGAGGAGGAAGAGGAGAGGACATCATAGTGCCTTCCCGCTGCTTTGCATGTGCCGAGCGCAGAGGACAGATGGAAAACGTACCTTGAAGCGAGTACGGCCAAAGATGAGCCAAGTATTTGCCCGGCTGGCCCCAACGACACTCCTGTCATTCATGTATGTTGACGGCCACTCCGATGCAACTGACACTGCGAGATGCCTGGGTCATGGGCAGCGGCGTGCCAAAGTCGGCTCACAGTACCAAGCTTACTACCAGGTCCTGGGAAGCAGGCCGCTTTGCAATGGGGCTGAAGTGTCCCTCTTCTGTCTGCGGGGGGATGCCTGCGGTGCGCGCGCGCGTGTGTGTTTGCGTGTTTCTCTGTGTGTGTGTGTGTGTTTGTGTATCCTCCTCTCTCTTCCCGCGTGCCCGCGGCGTAATTAGCGTTTCGTGTGCCCCACTAATGCCACACCGCTGGAGCAGTCCCTCTGCCCAGCCGCCGCCGCCGCAAAAAGTGTGTGTGTGTGTGGTGTCCCTCTGCGGTGGTTCCCACCTCGCGGCTCCCTGAGGGGTGGCGACCCGCGCGCTTGTCGCCATTTTCGTGCGCTTCTGGGAGGTCCAGCGGAGTGGAGGCCCACGCAGACCCAGCCGAGACCTCGCGGGCCCTGCTGGGTTGCGACCCGCGCGCTTGTCGCCCATTTCGTGGGCTCCTGGGAGGTCCAGCGGAGTGGAGGTCCACGCGGACCCAGCCTAGACCTTGCGGCTGGGGTGTTGCGTTGCGACGTGCGCGTCTTTCGTCATGTTCGTTTGTATTGAGCGGTCCTGAATATAGCTGCCCTTAGAAAAGGGTTGGGTACGTCACTGGGTAATTGAATTGCTCCGTTCATTCCAACGTCCCATGTCGCATCACTGTGGCTGCTTGGTGGTCTGCTCGTGCCCAGGGGGAACGGTAGGGCAGGCAGGACGGTCTGCGAGGAGATCTTAGGAGATGTGGTTCGCACCCTGCCGAAGAGAGCCGAGAGAGCTCCAGCAGAGTTTCGAGACGTTCCTTGGTTGTGGGTCAAAGTCCTCATAGATGCTTCTTGGGGTATCCTCGGATGGCTCTCGGGAGCCTCCGGGGAGCAGTTTTGAGATCTCAGGGGGGCCTCTTGGGGGCTTCTTGGGGGCCTCTTGGGCTTCCTGGGGGCCTGCTGGGAGTCTTGGGAGCCTCTTTTGGGGTCTCTTGGGGGCCTCTTAGGGCCTCTTGGGGAGCTCTTGGGGTCCTCTGGGGGCTTCCTGGGTGCCTTTTTGGGCCGAGAGCTCGAAGTGTCTGTTCGGGTTCCCCCTCTGGGCCCCCTCTTGGGGCCATCCGGGGGCCGTCTTGGAGGCCTCTTGGGCCGTCTTAGGGCCATCTTGGGGCATGTGGGGGCCCTCTTGGAGGCTTTTTGGGCCGTCTTGGAGCGATCTTGGGGCCTCTTGGGCCGTCCAGGGCGGTCGGCAGCTCGAAAAGGCGGTACTGCGAAATCAATGATTTTTGCGTCTTCGGAGCCTCTCGAAGTTCTCTTGGAGTCCTCTTGGACCGTCTTGGGCGCTTCTTGGGCCGTCTTGGGACCAACGTGGGCCATCTTGGAACGCTCTTGGGCGCCTTTTTGGGGCGATTGGGAGGCCCCCGAGGCCGCGCCCAGGAGTTCCGGCATCTCTGACCTGACCTTTCCGTAATCTTGCTGGGACCTTGCCGGGACCTTGCAGGGGTACTTTTCGTCCCAGGACCCGCAGGGGCCGCCACGCGCGCGCGAGCTATTGAAACAGTCTTAAATTGCAATTTTAGCACGCCTCTGGCCCGTTGGGCTTGCGAATTCTACTTCATATTGCTACTGTTATGGGTCAGCTCAACATCGTATGCGGGATGTTCTGATCGAGGCCGCATGTCATGGGTAACAGTTCCTCAGGGGAATGTGTGCTTTTGATCGTTGATGCGGGGAGGGCGCGGCTGATGAGCATGATGTTGAGGATGAGGATAATGATGAGGAGCAACAGGATGACGAGGACGATTAGAACGTGATAAGAGCTTGACTCCCTCACGGCCTGTCTCGCACTGCTGATGCCTAAACATGCTGGAATATCTTCCACCAGCCAACAGGTTTTTCCTGGTCGCTTGCCTTTGTCTCAGCTACGGGCCGATCCTGTATTACTTCTTCGCGAAGCAGTACAATGTGATTCAGCCGATGTGCGACCAGCAGGAGGGTGTAATCATCTCCTTCTTCCCAACACGTGAATCTTGGTCCTGATTCCGCCACTGCGTCGTCAGTCGTCGCTTTTTGTGCTTTCATTTTTTTGTTTTCCCTTTTTTTTTTTTTTCTCTCTCTCTCTCTCTCTTTCTCCCTCTCTCTCTATATATATATATATATATATACATTCCTCTTTCTATAGTTTTACAAGCCCGGGGGCGGTGGGAAACCATCCCCCCCCCCAAAATGGACCCCCGGGATCTGGGGTTCTCGGGCTCCCTTGGACGTCCTTGGAAAAGGTCACCTGGCTTTCCAGGTCTCCACAAACGCCTTCCCAGCAGACCCAGAGCGATCCGAGGGGTCATCAGAAGGCCCCCAAGGCACCCCAAAAAGCTTTCCAAGGGGCCTTCAAAGCACAAACATCGTCCCATTCCCTTCGTAAAACTTGCAGTTTTAGCATATCCGCCTTTTGGATTTCATCAGCTTTCAAGATGGTTTCAAAGCCCCCGAGATCGCCTCCAGACGCCCCAAAAGGCCCCCAAGAAAGCTTCAAGACGGCCGAGCCGGGCCCCACGATCGCGAGAGCCCCAAGACAGCCCATAATGGAACCAAGAGGCCCCCCAAGGGCTCCCAGCACAGACCCAAAAGGGCCATGGGAGGTCCCCGGAAGTGCCCAAGATGGGTCCAAAGGGGGCTCCAGCGGGCCCAAGCTCCCCAAGACGGCCCAAGAAGGCCCCAGGACGGCCCATGAAGGCGCCAAAACGGCCCACGAGGCCCCGAAAACACCCCCACGATGTTTCCGGATGCCGACATAAAGCCCCCCAACGCACCCCAACAAGCTTTCCAAGGGGCCTTCAAAACACAAAATCGTTCCATTCCCTTTGTAAAACTTGCAATTTTAGCATATCCGCCTTTTGGATTTCATCAGCTTTCAAGATGGTTTCAAAGCCCCAAGAAAGCTTCAAAACGGCCGAGCCGGGCCCCACGATCGCCCACGAGAGCTCCAAGACAGCCCATAATGGAACCAAGAGGCCCCCCAAGGGCTCCCAGCACAGACCCAAAAGGGCCATGGGAGGTCCCCGGAAGTGCCCAAGATGGGTCCAAAGGGGGCTCCAGCGGGCCCAAGCTCCCCAAGACGGCCCAAGAAGGCCCCAGGACGGCCCATGAAGGCGCCAAAACGGCCCACGAGGGCCCCGAAAACACCCCCACGATGTTTCCGGATGCCGACATAAAGACCCCCAACGCACCCCAAAAAGCTTTCCAAGGGGCCTTCAAAAACACAAAAATCGCCCCATTCCCTCCGTAAAACTTACAATTTTAGCATATTCGCCTTTCGGATTTCATCAGCTTTCAAGACGGTTTCAAAGCCCCTGAGATCGCCTCAAGACGCTCCAAAAGACCCCGAAGAAAGCTTCAAAACGGCCGAGCTGGGCCCCACGATCGCCCACGAGAGCCCCAAGACAGCCCATAATAGAACCAAGAGGCCCCCCAAGGGCTCCCAGCACAGACCCAAAAGGGCCATGGGAGGTCCCCGGAAGTGCCCAAGATGGGTCCAAAGGGGGCTCCAGCGGGCCCAAGCTCCCCAAGACGGCCCAAGAAGGCCTCAGAACGGCCCATGAAGGCGCCAAAACGGCCCACGAGGGCCCCGAAAACATCCCCAAACGAGGAGGGGGAGGAGGAAGAGGGAGTCGTCAGATCCGCTTCGCCGGGGTATGCTCACAACTCCCACCTCGGAAACGCTTTGCCTCGCAGTGGTCCCGCCATTTTCGCCTGAGACATCCTCGCAACTCTGCCGTCCGAGACGCCCTGGCCTGAGGTGTTCAAGCCAATTTCGCCTGAGACAGTCTCGCAAGTCTGACTTCGGAGGTGCCCTGTACCATGGTGGTTAGCCTACTTTCGCCTGCGACTTCTCGCAACTCTGGATTTCGGGATGCCCTGAGCTGAGGTGTTCAGACCACTCTTCGCTTGAGACTTCCTCGCAAGGCTGACTTCGGAGATGCCCCGCCCCATAGTGCTCGGGCCAGTTGCGCCTAAGACATCCTCGCAACTCTGATCTCGGAGGTGCCCTCCCCCAAGGTGGTCTGGCCACTTCCGCATGCGACACCCTCGCAACTCTGCGTCCGGGGATGTCCTAAGCTGCGGTGTTCGGGTCACTTTCGCCAGAGCCATCCTCGCAACTTTCGGTTCCGAGGTGCCCTGAGCTGAGGAAATCAGACCACTGTGGCCTGAGACCTCCTCCGAACTCTGACCTCGGAGAAGCCCTGCCCCAAGGTGGTCCAGCCACTTCCGCTTTGAGACTTTCTCGCAACTCTATGTTCCAGGGCTCCTTCAGCTGAGGTGTTCGGGCCACTTTCGCTAGAAACGTTCTCGCAGCTCTGGGTTCGAGATGCCCTGCCCCATGGTATTCCGCCACTTTCGCTTGAGACATCCTCGCGTCACTGAGTTCCGGTCTGTCCTGAGCTGAGGTGTTCAGGCCGTTTTCGCTTGAGACGTCCTCGCTACTCTGATTTCCTCTATGTCCTGAGCGGAAGTGTTCAGGCCATTTTCGCTTGAGACATCCTTGACACTGACCTCGGCGATGCATTGTCCCATGGTAATCTGGCCATGTTCGCCTGAGACCCTCGCACCTTTCATTTGCGAGATGCCCTGAGCAACTGGTCAGGCCACTGCCGCCTGAGATACGCATGTGTATGCGAACCCATAGTTATATACATACATTATATATAATGTACATGTGGGCGTGCACCGACAAAACACGTACGATTTGCATATGCCTGTCCATACCGTTACACATGAATGTTTATGTACACATGTACGCTATATGCACACATACACCGATGTAAGTATATTGTATACACCTAGACATGTATACGGAACGTGCATGCAAGTGCGCGTGTATACATGCATGCGCGCATGTACGCACGCACGCATTCCGCTGACGTGCAGAACTCAAAGGACCAAGGTGCATGGCGCGCAGCGCCAATGCAGACTTGTGTATATACATGTATATATATATGGCCTTCTCGTCCGTTGCCATGTCCGGGCCGAATGGCGACTCCGAGCGGTGCGACCGAGGCATCTCGGCAGCGTGACCTGGGACCGCTCGCTCTTCTTTTGCAACGCGTTCTCGCAAGTGGTGCGGCGCACATGATTTGTATATCATGCACCTTATCCAGCTGCATGCGCGATGCTTCCAACCATATTCTCTGCAGATTCGGGGCGTGTGCGCCTATGCTGGAAGAGCCCGTCAGTACAACATGCTAAAGGTAAGCGCCGGCACGCTATTCGCAAACAGGTATGGGCAGCCTCGACCTGATGGAGAAAACCGTCGTCGATTGCGGTTGGACATGAGGCCGATTGCGGCTGCGCGAAGCTGTGCTGGCGGGTAGCACCATCACGAAGGAGAAAGCAGCCGCCTGCACGAAGTACGCTCGCAGCGTGGTGGACGAAGGCCACTAGTCCCACGGGCGGTGCCAGATCTTGTGCGGAAGTTTCGGACAAGGTGAGCTATCCGACTGCGCCTTCGATGGCGACATCGCAGCGTCATAGCATGGTCAGTTTGCTAGGCTTCAGTGCAAGGTTGCCGAGGCGCTAGCCCAGCTTGATCTCCTGGCAAATCAGCCGAATGGCAAAGAGTGGATTCTCCGATGCGAAGCCCACTAAGTGCTTGGAGGACTCTCTGTGTCCGTGCGTCAAAGTGACGGCCTCCAATGCGGTGATGATCTGGATCATCGCGGCCAGCGCGCGCGCGTTTGCAGGCCTTAAGTCAGGGCGCACTGTTGGCGCGCACCCACCATTCAAGAACACCGGCTGCCGGTTGGCGACCTCGAGGCGGACGTCTGGCGGGCCGAGTTCAGGCTGCTCAGTGGGCCAGTGAATTCAGAGAGCGGGGGGAAGCTGCTAGCGGGCTGCCCATTGCGAGAGCAGCTGAACCACTTGCGGACGACCGTCCTGCCGCATGACTCGGACGTCGCACGACTTGGACATCTGGGCTTCTCCCGGGGATCCCACGGCGGTGCTGGAGAGGGCCAGGCTTACTCCGGCTGGGTCCGCCCAGGGGAGGGCCCGCTGCTCGTGCCCACGGCGAAGGGCGGACAGCCCACCCTGGCGGCAGACTCGCCGCCATCGGGCTGGACGCGGGCGGCTCTCGCGCTGCAGGCGAGCGAGGCACGTATTGCGAGAGTGCGTCGTCTCCTTTCCGTGGCTTCCACGAATGCGGGAGCGTGCCAATAAGCTCTTCCGTAGAAGGATGAGCTCTTCTACGAGTGAGGTGTTCGATTAGGTTGTTTTCCTTGGAGCCTAAGCTTTCCGTTCCACAGTTCGTAATTCTAAGGACCCGTGTTAGTAAATGAAGTCCAATGTGGTGCCGATACGTTTTCGCACACCGAGTATGGTTGTCTGAGTACAAAAGCAGTGCGGCAAGGATTTCGTCTTCACAGGCGCGACCCCGACCGTCACCAACTATTTTGGTAAGGGCTCAGACAACCCGCACGACAGATCCATGTGAGCTGGCCTGCAGTACGACTGCGCCTGGTTTTCTCTTGAGTATGCGGGCTTCTTCTCCGCAGCCTCCCCTTCCTCCTCCTTCTCCTCCCTACCTGCTTGATTTGATGAGGGTCCATTTTCATTGTGAGCGTGCAGCGGCCACTCTACATGTTCTTCCACGGGGCGGTTACGCTTAATGCTGAAATTAAGGTTTTAATGCTGAAATGAGAATTCCGAAACTGAAATAGATACTACGTGAAGACACTACGTAAAAACACCACGTAAGAAACACTACGTAAGAAGCGCTACGTAACATCACTACGCAGTATTATTATTATTATTATTATTAGTAGTAGTAGTAGTAGTAATAATAGTAGTAGTAATAGTAGTAGTAGTAGTAGTAGTAGTAGTAGTAGTAGTAGTAGTAATAGTAGTAGTAGTAGTAGTAGTAGTCGTAGTAGTAGTAGTAGTAGTAGTAGTAGTAGTAGTAGTGGTGGTGGTGGTGGTGGTAGTAGTAGTAGTAGT